TTTCTGCCAGCCAGACCATTAAACAACTATTAAACAATAGGATTTGTCTCTTAGTGTAATACCAGCAAGAACCCTTTGTGAGGTTTCCTATTCCCTCCTGTTCATCTGTCATCTGATCTAACCCCCCTCAAGCACATTAGTCAACTCTGCATCTGATGAACCACAACTCAACCCCCCCCTTTCTCTATTCCTCTCACTTCAACCTCAAGAGACACAGCCAACATCCACAAGGCCTCGCACACTTATCATTAATGAAAGCAGAGAAGGATACATAAGGACAAATGTTTTCCCCTGAGAGCCCAGGAGTTCTGAGTTTGGGCGCCTCAGTGTTCAGGGGCCAGAGACATATCAGCAAGTAGAGTCCCCTACTGACTACCACAATGTTTCCCAGGGGGGGCCTCTATCTCATTATTTCTTCTTGTTTTCTTTCCCTTCTCCAACCATCATTACCTTGATAAATTATTGACTTTACTAGAAAAATTAAACTACATAAATAACTCCACAATGAAAATATTATCCCCTTCTGCAGAGCGCAGAGCAGCCAATAAAAACCTGTCTGACTTCCATCAGGCTACTTTGGCTTGGATTATAGTAATGTATGACTGTGTAGTTCTGCATTAAGTCTTCCCATCAGTTATCTGTCTTTCTTTTATGTGTATACGCATGTATTTATTAGTTTTGTTCTGCTCTTTCTTCCTTCAAATATATTGAATTATGGCTTTCCACAATATATACAATGTGTCTCAAATGCATGGAACGTGGACATTCTTTCCTGTTCAACATCTTTTTACTGGCACATTACAGTCATGATAACAGAAACGCCATCAGACAGACGTTCTTATGAGGCCCACATTCTTGAATAACACCAGATATTGTCTTCTACCTTTCATATTGACAATAGGAATAATGCACTTTCTGGTCCTCACAGACAACAGTTCTCGTTCCAACCTTAGAGAAGCACAGTCTGATCAGCGGGGTTCAAATTGAAAGCAGTATGTTTTCAGAACGCCAGCGGCTAATTTTAGGATTGAAAAAGAAATCCAGTGAGATCATTTCTCTGGTAGATGTTAGAGAACAATGAGAAGCTCGGGACTCGGGAGGCCCTCCATCAGAAACACAGGGCTGCTGCCAATAAGAACATTCATTAGGGACAAATAAAGAAAATACTTAGAGGCAAGTTTTATGAGAACCAATTTGTGGCGTAATTGTATGGGCAGACATAAATCAACCTCAAACTGAGGAGAAACAACTTGTTTTTAGAGTTGCTGTACCACTGCCTTTATTGTAAAGGATAATCACACAAAAACACTGTTCACACTTTTGATGATGTTACGAAGCAATAACCAAACAAACCCCTGATGTGTGTTCAATGATCTTGTGTTGACTTGTTTATAATCTAGTCAAAAACATCAGCCTCTAGTTTATCCAGCAGATAATTAAGTCAGACCATACAAATATAAAGAAATATTACCAATATAAAAGCCAACCATAGCCATAGAATTATATAAATGTTGAATTAACAATACAAAAAAACAGGCAAAAAAATTATACACAAATAATGTAGAGCCAATCTTAATTGCAGACTTTTTTAACATACAAATAAATGTAATATATGTGACCATGTGATGCGGAACATGCTTCGGTCACTTCAGCCAATGTTGGTTCTGAGAGGCAGCGGTGTCCTGCAACATGTTCCCTGTATACATACTTAACATGAGGATTGACCAAAGCCAGAAAGGAATAGAGAGAGTAAAATATTCTGTTGCCAAATGGAGTTGAGTGTATATGGGTTCTGGGACAGAGCTGGGCAGCCCCACAGCCGGTATGATATCACCTTGCCCTCAGTGCTTTCTGGGGGAAATGATCTGCAATGAACTGGCTCTGTGTGTCTCTGTACATTTGCCTACACATTAGCAGGCACCTTACAAAAGCCTGCAGGAAAGTCCCCCTTGATTACGACGAAACTGTAGCTAGGCTGAGTGTGGTTACAAAACAACATAACACTCTCTTTACATCATAAAAGTGCCAGGCATGTGTTCAAATGGCCAATTGGAAGCAGGGACATCTAGCTATTGCAATTGTTCTGAGGAGGCTTTGAACTGCTAAGAGCTCTGAAAATGATTTTCTTCATGTGGATTATGATTTATTCTGTATTTCCCCAAGGTCATTTCTATGGGGAAATCAATAGCTCCAGTGGAAAACTTTGATAATCAATAGGCACAGAAAGAGACGGCTTTGGCCAATTTATAATCTGTCGGAACAAAACACAGCTCTATATCCATACTCCATATAACCAGCTAATGGGAGTCATTTCATCTCATAATACTATTTCAAACAACCACACTATGGAAATAGCAAAGAGTTAACTTATATATTTGTTTTAATTGACGTCTGTAGTTCATGATGGGAATAGACGCTGTGGGCTTCAGACCATCGCTGACCGCGGCAGGAGGGCGAAAGTTGGAACAGTATTGTGCAATATTAATAGTTTTCTACAACAATCTTTGAAGAATGCACACACTATTTCAAAGGATCCATCTGCATTTTAGCAGTGGGGATTATAATTGTTGATGGATAATGAAGTAGTTTAGAATACTTCATTTGCGGCATATTTAAAATCAGCAGCTCTTTACAAACGACAAAAGGGAAGGCTTCACGAGAGCATCCTGGACTTTGACGAAATACAAACATTACAAGAACTCATTAGCTAAGTATTTAGGTAATACACCCAAGGTTGATTCATTGTCAACAAAATACCAATGTAAGGGTTCCTATGAGAACCTGGTGATGTCTCCTGAAGCTGAAGGGACACACCAGTGGCAGTCAGGGCGGCTGTTTGCCAGTCTGACGTCTTTATTCCTCGGGCCGGTTCTAAGACATGTTGACTCCAACTGGCAAACAACTTGCATATCTCTCATCTGTTTATCTAAATACAAGACTGAAGACTGAAAATAAAACTTCAGCTGCAGTGATTACAACCCCCTAAAAGTCGCTTGACAGATGATATACCGGAAATAACCCTGCAGCTTAAATCAGCCACGTAATAAACCTGGACATTTATTTGAAGAAATGTTAATTTAAAAAAAAGCAATTTGGAGCGTTTGAGGGAAATGCCAAATGATGATTTAGCAAAAAAAGAAACATTTAATTAAATTCTCAGGGCAATTATTATTTTGCTTGAAAACCTTGTTCCTTCATTGCTGCTGGGATTAAGGTCCATCATGACACAATGATGGTTTCTCAAATATAGTCACATCAACTTAAACTGTAGTCAATTATTATTGCCTATTGATTCAACCTAAGCTACACAGCCGGATCACATGTCCAGGGGTAAACATGCAGTACTTAATAATAGATTCTAAAAAATCCATCAGATAACAACTGTGTATAAATCATTTTAAAGATGAAATGCAACCTGCAGACAATACAAAAGCAGAAGACAGTTTTATGTCCAGCTGAGAGTCAACAACGTATAATCACTACAGGCAAACATGAATAACTAATAACTGAGGGGGATCTAAGGGCTGACCGTGTTCAACACAACAGCTAATCCAAAGTGAGCTCCTCCTCAGTGATGATCTGACTGCAGGGAGGCTTATTGTTTCACCATGATTAAAACCAAAAGGGTTTGCATGACTCTGCCCTTTTTTCTTTTCTGATTGCTCGCGGAAACAATGTGTAACTTTTCATTAGATCTACTCCTGTAACATTGCAGCAATTTCCAGAGAAGAAGCTGGTCATTCAACTGCAAGTGGAATTCCAACATAAAGCCTTGGAGTGAGGGCACTGAGGGTTAGATTTAAAAGAAATACACTATCAGCACATAGTTACTAACCACTTCGGATAAATATTCGGATCAGAAAAAGGACTTTTTTCTGTCATCTACAAACACCTATTCGTTAGACAGAGACAACACTGCGGAGAGCATGACTAAGAGAGAAAAAACACCATGGGATAAAAAAAAGTTCAACGTGGAAAGACAAACAGACAGCTACCCACACAGATAGGACGCTTTACAATGAAGTTTGGAGGCAGAGGAGCAGTCACTGAGATGCATATTAACAGCCAGTGTACTATAGTAAGTTGAGTGCTATGTGTTTAGTGTTGGAGCCAAGGTGAATGCTTACTGAAGACCCCTCATGAGAGAGAATATACTGTAGAGATGTGAATAAGCAAAGATTCTGCACTATGGAAAAGACATTAGTGCAGGTTTTGAATGAAAAAAGGAACATAGGGGAAATCAGGAGGAAGAGGCGGCACAACCTTTCAGCTGTGAGCTTGTAAAGCAAGCAGGGATGGAACCTTAATGGCCTTTCTTAGACTCTGAAATGTCAAAGGAGCATTTCAAAACACTTGACAGGGGGACGGGGGGGGGGGACGTCATAGACGCAAAATGTTATTTACAGCTACAGGATGACTTCACCCAAAACAGGGATTCATTACTGCTGCTGGGAACACATTTCTCATGGACAAAAAAGAAAGAAAAAACAACCACTTGCTTATTTCCCCTGACTGTTCACTGTGATGCTTTGGCAAATAAGGTTTCAAATGTTGTGTGGAGAAGACCTGGAGCCTAAACACTGCGAGAGTCAAACAGTAGAGGCTGGGAAGACCTTCTTTGCATATTTCATTCTTATTGTTACTTGAAACTAATTCAGTTACAAAAAGCTAGCCAATAAGTTCCATAAGATCACATTAATTAAATATCTATAGGGGAACACGATAGAAAAGGGAAGGGCTGGGCTATTAGGCGTATAAATACACGTGAGCATTAGATGAAAACCATTTCTGCAGTCAGTAAGGCTCTGTGTTGTGTCAAGGACAGCTCCTTAACAGACTGGCTGCTCCAGCCATCCTCATAGACGGGAGTGGAAGAATTCATTTGTACAGTGTGTGTGTTGCTTGGTATTTGTTCACATAACTCTCCCTGAGGTCCACTAAACAGATTCATCACACCGATAAAAATGTTTGTGTACTCCATTGATGCAGGAGATAAATTGTCAGTAGCCATATTTGTCTTTCACCTGTCCTGCAAACATCAACGATACTTCAAAAGCTTATGGATACTGTTAGTTTGTTCTTTGTTCATCTCACACTAAAGCAAAAATCAAAATCTGTGACGAGATCCTGAACTGTATCTATCCTCAATCAATTCCTCCTCTTTTGCTTTGTTTTTCCTTTCCGTCCATCTTCAGTCAAAAGGTTCAGAGTTCCTACTAAGAAAAGTAGGAATCCTAGTGAATTCAAAGGAAGGACCACAGCAATCCTACATTAGTGTGGGAGAATGTCTGTGTGTATATGTACAGTATATGTATAACCCTGCTTGCCTGTATGATTGTGTCTAAATGTATATGCGTGCTGATATGAACATGTATTCTGTGAAGTAGTGTGTGTGCCCTTAACGTGTTTGTTCTGAACAGGGGGGCCCTAGAAAGCGGAAAACTGGCATGGAGGCAGGCTCCGCCAAGCCACTCATCTATTCTGGGCATCCAGAGCTCACAGTTCTACTTGCAGCAGAGGAAAACAGAATATGTGATGTCCTCTGAGAAACGGGTTCACTCAGGTGTCAGCGAGCTGTCGTGTGTTATGTAATAATAATAAAAACATGATTTATTGCATAGAAAGAAGATAAAAATGTTGTGAAATGTTGTTATTCCACTTTTGGCAGACCATATCCTCAAACATAGAAACAGTGGTAGTTATTCCAAATAGCAAGGGAAAAGTAAATGTCTTTGCAGTTTCCATTTGTATACTAATTCTTAGTTACATCACACTGAGAGGATCTGTTCCCTTTTTGTGTGTAAACCTCTTTGATGCACTTCATCCGAGTTAGTGTAACGCTATTGCATTAAGACCAATGTCAGAGCAATATCTTGAACAGTACACCCATGGCACAGCTTACGGTTGGTAAACCTACCTGTCACTGTTTTAGTTTTGACAGGGCTGCTGGCGTAGTCAGAGGCCTGGTTGGGGGGTAGTTCGGGGGGGGACACACTCCCCAACGTCACCTCATCCTCTCTCCTCTTGGCCAAAGGAACTAAACCTGGAGCCTGGAATGACATCAAAGCACCGACAGTATGAGTTCATGGGAAAGGTATTATGTTATGGTCTCTCATATGACTGCATTTCCATTGAATCTGCAAATATTCAGTCTTTTAAAAAGAGCATGTTATCAGGAGACAGAGCACACATGTTGTTAAGGATTGATCAATTAATATAGTATGGCCATGAACTGTAGATAAAACTAGACAGCATCAAAGATCTGGGTTAACCAGATGATGCAATGCAAGGTACAACAGGGGAGGGAGGAATGGAGGAAAATAAATGAAATGCAGTGGAACACAACGGAGGCCTCCAACATCAACAAGGCTAGTGAGCAGTCTCCCATGCTGCTGGCAGGACGCACACACACAGACGCGCACACAAGTGGGTTATTTTTTCCGTGTATATAATTTCAAATTTGGGTATTCATAGTATAACATTATGAAAATTTTCCATCCAAAAAACCCCACACGTGTTGCCCGGATAACGAAGTACGGGAGGACGGGGACAAACCTTACCCGACAGTCGTATGTAACACACAACCCAAATTGCCTGTTTTTCTCCCCTCATTAACGTTTTGGCGAAAAATGAGGAACTCAATTCACATGGGTCCCCATTTTGGTCTCAACTTCACGCGGCACACTTCTGATGTGTTGTGAATGACAACACACACACACCACACACACACACCACCACACCCACCACACCACACCACCCACACACAACAACCACACACACCCACCACCACCACACACACCCACACACCCACCACACACCACCCCACACCCCACCACACCGTCGCGGCGTCCCCAATGTTAAAAGCAAAATCCTTTTAGAATCATCTCTGTGGTAGAACACTTCCTTCTTTCTACTAACCTTTCTTTTTACTCGTTGGTTCTTTAAATTTTTCCCCTTAAACCCTGTTCTTCCCTTCCTAGACACACAGGTTTTTTTTCGTATTCCCTTACATCAGTGTTTACCGTTACCTATTTCTTTCTTGTCTAGTTTTCAGTTCCCTCTGGTTGTATTTTCCGGTCTCTGTCGCGAACTCTTACACCGGTCTCTTGGGGTCTCCTTTCCAAATTAATATGTACAGTTGATTTATTTTTTCCTCATTTATCTTTTTGGTTAGTCTCTTCGTATTCGACCCTATTTCCCATTATTTTCTTTTCTCTTCAATCTCCTTTTGTATACCTTGTTGTGAAAGGAGGGGGAGTCACACCAAACATTTCTTTGTATGGTAAATACAGTCCCTACCCAACAAAATAGCTTCATTCATGGATTCTCGTATCCTTAATAATCTTCAATCTTCTATAAAATTCTTCCACATTTTGGGACTATTATTAATAAAAGTTATTAATCGTAAATTTGTCACTTGGGATGTTTTTCACACAGAAAAAAGTTCGATAAAGTTCGACAAAATCACACTTATTATAACATAAGAAGAAACCAAATTGGGTGAGGCCTTATAAACAAAATGAATAACACACATTTGTTTTTTCAGGGAAATTAAAATTTTGGGTTGGGTAGCAGAAACGTCTAGCAAAAATGGGCTTAAATTTACCTTACAAGTTCTGTTTACATTAAACCCGTTGATTAATGGAACCAATGGGGTCCCAAATAATGATCAACGTTTCAAACGTCTTGCGAACTACTAACCGTAATAAGGAGATCGGTCAATCACTTTTGTACCTACAAGTTTAAAACTTGTAAATTTAGATTCGGGTGTTGGTCGGAACCACTGGTCATTAATTTTGTTACGTAAAAAACACAACCACACAACACACACACACACACACACACCACACAAACACACCACACACACACACACACACCACCACACAACACACCACAACAACACCCACACACAACACACACACACACACACACACAACACACAAACAACAAGGCACCCACCCACGCCAACGCGCGGACGTAGTATCCGGGATCGAGAAAACTACGATTACCCAAGGGATAATTCTGGAAGGTGAGACGACAATAAAATCGGTGAATGACACACACACACACAACACCACCCACCACACACAGCACACACACACACACACACC